TTTAATTATTTTTACATTCTTAATTCAAACTTTAGCTTTTTTATATCATTTTTTAGTCAATTTTTAAAACCTTCACAATCTCATGTATCAAATTTACTTTAATTTTTAATCAGATTATAAATTTCAAGTTATTACTCTCAATTTTACTTAAAAAAAAAAATTTCGCCCATCACGCATTCTTACAAATTTCCCAATCTTACATGTCGTTCTTAAATTCACCTCTATAATAATATTATCCAAATCTACAACTTAAAAAAAAAAAATCATTATTATTATTTCTTAAAATCTCTCATTCATCATAATACTAAACTTATTTTTGTTTTACTTATTAGTTATCTTTATACCAAAAGACCAATATCTTTATCAATTCTTAAAATTTGGTAATGTTCACCATTTCAAGTAAGCGCCCAATTCAAATTATTTTTGTCACTATCACGGCATTGCCTTTTTACAAGGAACATTTTCACGCTACCATAATCAACGATCAAAAATATCAATTTTTAAATATAAATTAACATAGGTGAAACGCATTTTTTTTTTTTAATTGTAAAAATCGGAAGATACAATATCTTCAAAAACACCACTAGGGAAAACAACTATCTTTCCCAAAACAAGTTAAAATTAAAGATTCCCTCCACTTCATCGCCAGTAGCTAAATTAGGTCACAACCTACCAAACTTATTAACAACATGTTATTCTAACTTAGATACACTCCCTCGTCTCTACTTTTTACATGCATAATTAAACAACCATACATCTCTCTCCACAAAATCTACAACACCCTCACACATCACTTTCTCCAATTGGCAACAATTTTTAGTGCGCGACTTAACATACAAATCCAAATTTCGAGCCACACAAGCGCCACTTAGCTCTATATCGCGTCACCACAATAAAATAATTTCACATTAAGCGTGCCACCTCCACTAACAGTCAAATATTCTCTCGATGTGTTTCGTACAACAACCACCCATGACTTTATTAAATTTGTTATTCCGGGTGAAACAGTTAGATTTGTACCAAACTAAGACTTCACGTGACACCTTTTTATTCACATTTCTCACTTCGTGTCACAGTGCCACCACACAAAACTTTTTCACTTTTCAGGCCAAAGACGCCCTTCACGCCTGTGACACCACAATTCACCCCAAAGCGTGTCTACGTCGAAAGTCGCACTTTCACCACACATCTAAACCTGACATCACCTAATAACATTTTTTCTAAGTCTAAACTAAATGCGAAACACAACAACTACAAACACCGAGAAAATCATATTTTCAAATAGGCAAGAAAATTGCCAAACTTCAACAAAAGAAGAGAGAGAAAGTCAGTTTCAAGCAAGACAGAAAATAAACACCCCGCACGTGTGACCACCCCAAAAATAGAATTTCCGTGAAAAAAAGCAAGTGGACTCCCTTTTTGACGTCACTCCCTTTGACATGCCCTCTCTTCCCCCTCAAGGCAGATCTTCTTGACCGCTAGCTTCATGACGCCATTTTGAACACATGTGTCACACTACTCATTTAGATTTCCTCGAGAATCTCACAAATCTCACCAACGAGATATCACAACACCACATACATTAAACATTTTACATGTTAATTGATAACACCAATTAAAACAATTTGGTTAAGTCTTATATAGACTTTTTAACGCGCGAAAGAGAAATCATTCTCTACATACCAGCATTGAGGACAAACGAAAAGATCATTTCACATATTCCCAGTTTCAGAGTCATAGCAACACCGATGTTACCAAAGGGATATAATCTAGTCACACACCACAACTGTAACTTTTCGTCAAAAGAGACAATTTTTGTTCAATTTTACACTACTTAAAATTTATCCAATCATTAATAACCTTCAATTATATTATAAATTTTGTATAAAATCTTGAATAATTATTCTTAGTCTTACCTTTCAATTATATAAACAAATTTTTTAATCCAACATTTAAAAAAAAAAAAAAAAAAAACCTTTAATCAAATTTACTTTTATTTTTCATGATATTATTTCAGTATTGTAAAACATCTAATTGTTTCAAAAATTATTTTTATTTTATTATTTATTATATATTTTATATATTACAGGTTTAATTTTGTCCACTTACACTTTTTGTACCCGCAATCATATTTCTATATTTCTATTCACTATATTTTATTTGTTTAAATACCTTTATTATCTGACAAAGTTTATCGTCCACTATCGGGCATCTACAACAATCGTTTTCAACAATCATATTCTTTAACCAATTCCCTATATTTTTCATCACTATCTTTGCAGTCATTGCGTCACATCAATGTAGAAAAACGACAGCACTGCTTGACAATTTATTTTTTGATTTCGTAATTCAACAAACGTCTTGAACACTTCCCCAGACCTATAAATTTCAAACTTCTGGTCTGAACAAGCTTCAAGAGTTTATTTCATTTCATCCGCAGAGCAAATCACCAACGCATACACAAAGCGTTCACTTTTTTCAACTTTCAACTTTTTTTTTCAGCTCTAGCGGACCACATTCAACCTTTGATTTCGAGTCAAGTCAGATCACCTACTGTCGCTACAATTCTACTTATCGCATGGCTCTATTTCACTCCTTTCTCAATCATATTAATAAGCAACTTTTCTTCAACAACTTTTAACCCAATAATCCTAAAATTGTGACAAAACACTGTAACCCTTATATAGGATCGCAAGTGAAACATTGCCAAGGAAGACAGCTCAAGTCTATATCCTCGCTTTGCACCTGGATCTGAGTATTTGGTTTACATGGGCACTTCTAACAATTACATATTCTTCAACAACTTTTCAACCCAATAACACTACAATTGTGACAAAGCACTGTTACCCTATACAGGATCACAGGTGAAACATTGCCTAGGAAGACGCTCAAGTCCATATCCTCGCTTTGCACCTGGACCTAAGTATTTGATTGCATGTGTAAATCTCACAATTGCTTATTCTTTAACTACTAACCCTGTCCAACGCCCACCAATATTCTCTTAGAATGTGAATTTTTATGTCATCATTTTATTTTAATCATCTTTTTTGTTAATCAAACACAATGTCATTTTTATTTCACTTTTATATATCCAACAAATATCATCTTGTTATAGCCCTTTTTAACCCTCACAGTTTAAATTAATTAAAAGAAATTTTAATTACTTACCTGTGTTAGAGAGGCTTTACCCGCCTAAACCCGGATAAACCCTTTCACTCCCGGGGCCCATCTATGGTAATTTAAAACAACAACCTCATATGGTGTAGATAACTTATAACAAGATTGCCATGTTGTATATAGAAACATCTATAAATAATTATGCGCATGATTAATCTGTGTCTTTACATCACCCTATGTAATGTAATTTGTACAAAGTGGATAAATAAATAAAATCTGTAATAGATTTAAGAGTTGAGCTAAAGCAGAGATCGAGCATAGTATTACCAAAACAACAGTCTAAAGATGGAACTCATAAATCAGGTAGATTCACAATTCCCACGACAGGCCACCCACACTGTCACATGTGGTGGAATGCAGAGACCCCTCTCACACCTGGACAGGTAAAGGCGCCCTTTCTCAAACGCCCCTGTCACATAAGGTCACCCCGTCTTTAACCTATAAATCATCACCTTACAGGGACTTGACAGTTCAGACAGTTCAGTCAGTTGAGTTTAGTTCACCCTTAGCGTCAGCTCACGTCGGTCGTACCTTATGTCGATCTCAACTATCATGTAGACGAGTAAGAAACTTCTATGTCTCCATCTTGCGCTTCTAGCTCAGCTTTTATCTGTTAACGGAACTTTCTTAGTGTAACTGTGTCTTCGTTTTTTGTGTGGATATCCCCAGCTTTCCACTCTGCCTCGACCACGACTGCCTGTATTTTGTGAGAACTTTTAAAGGTCTTCCAAGGTGCAGAGAGGTACTGGAAAACTCTACATCCTGACTGTTCCTCTTGGTCAACACAGTACAACAAGAGCTACCAGGACTTTAACATTATTTCAGTAGTCGACAGGATTCTCATCACAGATAAGTCGACAGCAACTTATCATCACATATATATATATATATATATATATATAATTTAAGTATTATAATTATCTGTCTTATAAGACCAATGTCATAATCTGGGGAGATTATGAACAAACATATAATTTTCTGATTAGCACATTATCGACACTATATATTTCACAGTTGGAACTATGACAATGATGACATAAATCTAAGTAGTGTATTCGGGATAGATCAGATATTGAGGAAAACATAATTAACAAATTATCCCGCTTTTTTTAAAACCAATTTTCATATTACGTGTTTGAAACTAAGACAGTGACTCCTTCCAGACCTAACTCTGTAGCGTATCAAAATTTTATCAAGATAGATTTTTAAATTGATGAAACGTACGAGGAACAGGCATAGGAAAATATTTCCTCCTATAATCTATATATTTTTCAACCCGAAAAAATATATGTTCACTAAATATTTTCTATATCTATATATTCACATATAGCTTAGTAAATTGGTATTCCATCGATAAAAGATGAACGTCAATAAATACAATGAATCGCTTAGTTTCAAATTGGGTAGTGATTTTAGAAGAGCTTTAGAGAGTTGGGATGTAACTGTGTTTAGACGTGGTGTTATTTTTGGTGTCATTTTTTAAATTAGAATTCCGTTGACATTGCACATAAATCAGATTATCTAAATCTGAAGGACATTCCGGTAAGGTCATGGAGTGAGGTCGGTGTATGGATGTAGCTCTTCCAAGGTCCAGGCAAACATTGGTCAGACTGTGAGGCAATTGACACGGAAGTTGCCGACTCAAATATGTACAGTACAGACACAATACCTCCATATCTCTGGAGGAGAGCCCTTACTGAGAGTTAGCTTTTAGGACAGTAGTGGTTCAACTTTTTGAAGAGAACTATTGCCTCTCTTACTTCCTTTTTTTCCTACCTAGCTTGGAATCAGCTATGGCAGAGTTATCCTGATAGTTTGATCTTTGCCTGCGGCACCCGGTGTACCCAGGTAGTCACCCTCCCAAATACTGGCCGGGCCCGACGTTGCTTGATTTCGGTGACCGAACAAGAACCTATGTATTCAAAGTGATATAGTTTGTGTAGGCAATCGGATAGTTGTAAAGTTATATATGAACCCATGGTTAATAAAATCATTGATGGTATGGTCTAGGCCGAGGGGCAAGTCTACGAAGCCATCCTGGACTACACCCCCGTGGAGAGTGACAAGGACGCCATGATCATGAAGGAAGGAGAGAAGGTTGACGTCTTGGACTCTAGCAGTTCCAGAAGGTGGGTAGATACCTTTTATTGTCTTTCTCCATGCAATCATGACAATATTGTCAACATTCGTATGTACCTCAACTGCTTCTACCATTTAACTCCCATTTTTTCTCCGTTATCATCTGAAATGTCTATAATTATATGAAATTAAATTTCCAAAACGAGAGTAATTACTCTTCTAAACCATTATAACCCCAATAATATTCATTATTCAGTCAAATAAAATTACCTTAAGCACTGGTTTGTGACTACCTGCCCATACCGTAAGTGCGCCACATTTCTAAACATCTAAAAGCAGCTCGAAATTTTCACTTAAAAGGTCCCATTGCTACTTTTTGTTACTTGCACTTAGGTTTGTGGACGAATTTTTGCAAATCGGAAATCATTTTCTCAATTTGAGATTTATTGGGTGGCATTGAATTTATTTTTCAAGAAATTCCAAATACAGATTCCAACTACCGAGTGATTGACAATTTAGTCCACCCTCCCTAGTAAATATCTCTGAGACGGGGTAAGCTCACTACATACCATTTCATACCTTCCAATACTAAAAACGCTAAATAAATTAAGAGGTGATACATAAGATAAATAACATCATATTTATCAATATAGTAATTGAAGAGTTGTAGACGTGCGCTGGTACACTTTCGAATTTCTACAAGTAAACCCGGAATCGTAACCGGCATTGTGCAACTTTTAATTCCTTCAACCGCCCTCGATTCTTGCATAAATTGCAATGATTGTAATTAAATAAACGGGGCTTTGGACTACTGTAGCTACAGAAGTCGAACTTATTTCAAAATGTTTTTACATATGGTGAACACATCAAGTGAATCAGTCTTAAGAATGGTATGCCTTTTCAATCATGCTCCTCTAAGACAAATGATTAGTATAGATGACGGCTACCTTGGAATTTCCATGTCTCCCTATGCCGGTTTCTTCGCAAATATCAAGCTAGGAATTATTAAGTGTTCATTGTGTATTTTCGTAATAAAAACAATGCGGTGGTCCCTTACCCTTCCGCGCCCATATGCCGTTGACCTAATAGTAGGTTTATCCGCTTTTAGAAGCGGTTTCTAACTTAAAGGAAAGTGACTGCCGATCCAATTTACAGAAATCTTTAATACATACTCACCACGTTTATCGTGACCTATGCCATGTGTTCCAATTTCAGTATATGTACTTCCGAACAAGCGTGTATAAGTGCGTACTTATAATATGTAACTACAAATAATTCGACGCATGTAACAAAAAAGAGAGCTGAGAAAAACGGAGACAATTATCAAACTACGTCTTCAAAAAAGGTGCCAAGTTATGTAAAAATTCTGAAAGACATCCAGGCAGAGGAAGCGACGAGGAACGGAACTGGTGGCAAAGTTTGTTGCAGTTTCAACATAATGCCGGAGCCTAGCCAACTTCCTGGTCCACCGTGGCTTCGAACGTAAATACGGAAAGTTAATTGTGTATATCATTGCCTGGATTATTGTCGCTATCAGTCAAATCGTCTAGAATTGCATGAGAGTTTGTGATTAAAACTTGATTAAAAGTTTATTGATGCGGCATCCGTTCAGTCCAGTTAAAATCTCTGTTATGAATCAAATGAGAAACTTTTCAGTAGAAACCCGTTATAATACTATGACAAATGAAGAAATTGTGAATTCATGTAAAATCATGGAAACCCGTTATAATGCTTTGACAAACTAGGAAGTTGAAAGAGCGGGGAATGTCCTAGAAACCCGTCGTAATAGTTTGACAAATTAGGGAGTTGGAAGAGCGGGGAATGTCCTACAAAACCCATTATAATAGTTTGACAAATTAGGAAGTTAGAGCGGTGAATGTTCTAGAAAGTCCTCATATTAGTTTGAAAAATTAGGAAGATGAAAGAGCGAGGAAAGTCAGGAAGTTGTAAGAGCGGGGAATTTTCTAGAAATACGTTATAATACTTTGACAACAAATTAGGAAGTTGGAAGAGCGGAGGTTGTCCTAGAAGGCCGTGACATTCTAGAACGACGTCCTAAATGTCACCTTCGAAATAGCTCGGGTGAGTCAGCCTCAGTCTGGCGGGCCTCCAGGTCAGCATCACGTGCCGCCCCCATCGTCCGTCACCCCGAGAGAGATTGCGATAAAATGTCTTACCACAATAAACAACGAATCTCAAGATTTCAATTCGGCTTTATATAATGTAATCAATTCGGACTATATCTTGTATATCTTATAATAACCATTTTGGGTATGAGATTAGCGACTTCTTATCTTGTAAATACACTCCATGTCTATAGAAGTGGTCCGACTTGTGCACTTACGAGGTGTCAGGTTTCTTTACTTGTACTTGTACTCACTGGTAGGGAGCCTTCTGGGGTTTACCCGAGTGCGAATATATTTTATAAACGTTGTCTTGGGTGGTCGCTATTGACAGGGTGGTCTGTATAGACAGGTGGATGTATCACACAGCTGATAACAGGGTTGTCTAGAGTGGTCGCTATAGACAGGGTGGTGGTCGCTATTGACAGGGTGGTCTGTATAGACAGGTGGATGTATCACACAGCTGATAACAGGGTTGTCTAGAGTGGTCGCTATAGACAGGGTGGTCTGTATAGACAGGTGGATGCATCACACAGCTGATAACAGGGTTGTCTAGAGTGGTCGCTATAGACAGGGTGGTGGTCGCTATTGACAGGGTGGTCTGTATAGACAGGTGGATGTATCACACAGCTGATAACAGGGTTGTCTAGAGTGGTCGCTATAGACAGGGTGGTGGGCGCTATTGACAGGGTGGTCTGTATAGACAGGTGGATGTATCACACAGCTGATAACAGGGTTGTCTAGAGTGGTCGCTATAGACAGGGTGGTCTGTATAGACAGGTGGATGTATCACACAGCTGATACCAGGGTTGTCTAGAGTGGTCGCTATAGACAGGGTGGTCTGTATAGACAGGTGGATGCATCACACAGCTGATAACAGGGTTGTCTAGAGTGGTCGCTATAGACAGGGTGGTGGTCGCTATTGACAGGGTGGTCTGTATAGACAGGTGGATGTATCACACAGCTGATAACAGGGTTGTCTAGAGTGGTCGCTATAGACAGGGTGGTGGTCGCTATTGACAGGGTGGTCTGTATAGACAGGTGGATGTATCACACAGCTGATAACAGGGTTGTCTAGAGGGGGGCGGGCAGGGAGGTCACGTGTTTGCTGGCAGCCAATGGGCGCGCATTCTATCCGTGAGCTTCAGACAAACAGACAGAATAAGGCAAATATATAAGTAGATGTCGTATCCGTCGGGGTCGAATGGAAGGACGCAGCCGTTGTGCATGTAAGCGTCAAAAAATAACTTGTTCCACACTCGTGAGCGCGCGCGCACGCGGTGGTGGTGTAACCTTCGCCCGCGCGCGCTGGCACCCACGTTTATTTTGTACAGATTTATAGATGGTGAATTTGCATTTACATTTTAACATATTAATTATGGCGAAAATTATTTATACTCTTGGGCATTAGGCAAATTATGATATAATTCTGCCGAAGATAAACAAAGTATAAACAGAAAAATTGATTTTCCAGAAATTTATAAAGAATTCATATCCTAAATGCTTGTAAATAACTATGTATATACTTTTACTCGTTTATTTTTCTTTCAAAATTGTATCATTCATTTAGAATTAATATGTATACACACAATTATTTACACTGTTGTATATAAATCTTTCTCTCTTTCACGCACAATGTGTGGGAAAAAAATGGTATTAAATTGTAATATTATATATAATTGTTAGCTGTATATATACTGAATGTAATATTTAAATAAAGATACAATTCTTTCTTTGGCCTTGTAGAACGAGAGTGGTGTACGCGTGCTCGCATGCTTTAGTGAAAAACACAAACATCCTCGATAAAGAAAGGCGAGTTGCCCCTCGAAATATTGGAACATCAAAATTATTATAAATCCAATATATGCATCTTTTTTAAATATAATTTTAATTATGGATTGCCCAATCTTCAATATATATATATATATATATATATATATATATATATATATATATAAAGAGACAAGGGTCGCCTCTCCCGTCAAAATAGACGTCTAAAACTAGACGCCATCTATTGACCGTCGCCGCAACTAGCGGCCTCGGGTCGGTGATAAAGCCACAACACCAGCTTTGGCAAACTGAAAAGCGCTCACCTAGAGACCATGGTTTCGGGCTAATGGCCCTCGTCAGTCTACGGCGGCTGGTGTTGTGTCTTTGTCACCGACCCGAGGCCGCTAGTTGCGGCGACGGTCAATAGATGGCGTCTGGTTTTAGACGTCTATTTTGACAGGGGAGGCGACCCTTGTCTCTTTAGATCAATTTCCTCCCGGCAAAATTTTCACATCCAGCCGCTTTTAAACCTATTTAAGTAAGAAAAATCCCTTAGGGGAGAATAAAGACATGACACTTGTTTACCAAGGGGGTTGTTTTTTAACGAGGCTAACTTCCCTCCCCGATCTATTTCCTCGAAGGTTTTTGCCTCTGTATTCTGTCTCCTGTGTATCCTTACCACCCATCACTCAACCATCACGACTGCTTCTAACCAACATGCCACACTACAGTCATCCAACAGCATAAACTACATTACTACAGAGAGGAATTTATTTTCTTCACACAATAAAACTAATTCACTGCCATATATATATTATAAATTTTAAAAAAAATCTGCTGTTTTGAGATTAATTGCTTGTAGAGAAATTATTGGTCCTTTGCTTGATCTTGAAATCCATGAGCATGTGATATTGTTCTGCAGTCGTGGCAATAATTAAATGAAATTATTTATTAAAAATAGCTTTA